GGGGGCTGGGGGGTGTGCCATGTGCTTTCACCTGAGCTCTGAATTACCAAAGTGGAACTAACACTCCCATGTCTGTATGCTCAGCTAGCCAAATCCTGGTCCCTGAAGTCAATAAGAATTTTGACACTGCAGTCAATGGGACCAGGATTTGGCCTAAAGAGCACAAGCAGCAAGATTCCAGCTGCCCCCTGTGAATGAACACAAGAAGTGGGAGGGGCTCTGGTACGATCCTTGCCCCTTGCTCATATATGCAGGGGGAGCTAGCCCTGGCCCTGTGGTTTAAAAGGAAGCATGACTGCAATGGATTTGACTTGGATTAAAAAAAAACTGGTGCTGTGGGACACTGAAAGCAGATCAAAAGTAAGATTTTACTTGGACTTTTAAAACTGCAAAGCTGTGTCACAGATTACCTTCTGGTGCGGGGAGACATCCTGGTCATTTAGTGTTTACTTACAGAGCTGAATACAATTAAAAGGCCTAATCCTGTAGTTCCTTACTCAGGCAAGATTTCAACAGGCACCAGTAGCAGGTTTGCCTGATTAAGGACTGCAAAATTAGATGGAGCAGACATCACTTTGGGATCATCACATACCATCAATGTGAGAGATGGGTATGCTAACACTATCCACATCTTGTTTAAATAAGTTGACTTGGAGCATACTGGCTTCCTGGACAAGGTCTGCGGCTTTATCCGTGTATGGATAGGGGTTTGTCACCAACTTCATTAAAATCTGCGAACCAAGATAAAAGTCAGTCATAGACCCCCGAACAAGCAAGCTCATTGCAATTCTATACAGAAAATGCTAGTTATAGGGATATTAAGTGAAACAAATGGAAGGGCTTGGGAATTTAACATCCGGAAAAGGTAATCAGGAAAAGAAATGTTTTCTTTTAAAGATTAGATTTTATTGGAATTAGTTAATTTTATCTGGGAGTTTCAAAGGAGCCTAGCAGGTGGGATGCCTAATAACCTTAGCCTCTTTTCTCCTCATACCAGCACTGCTCCGGTAACAATATATCTTATGGGGAGTCAATTCCCCCCAACCCTTTTCATCCACCCCTTCACCAAGGACAACAGATATGAGTTCTGTGTAAAGGATTTAGTCACTGCCTTTCTCAGAATTCATTCACAATCCTTTGAAAAGATTTTCCTCAATAACAGCAAAGTAATTAGCTTCCCATTAATGCTATTCTTGACATTGTTTATCTAACTAATTTGAACAATTACCCTCTCCAAAAACTGAATCACGGCTTCCTTTTTGTCTTCTATTGTATTATCCAAGTGTTCCAGCCACAGTACGAGTTCCTTCCACGTGTACTCAAATACTCCACTGTCATGCAAAACCTAGCCGGAAAAACAGCATGTGAGAGAAAATAAATAGTGTATATTTATAGCTTTTTGTACAGCAGCTTTCATTTTTATTTCTTTTACTACAGACAGAATAGCAGCAAATTGCTGAACACCAACATTGTCCCCCTCTCTAACTTCTGACAAAAGGGACCTGATTCTTACATATACCAAGGTTGCTTTAGACCACGGCCCCAAAGTGGATGTAAATATTATTTACTGCCATTTTACATTGCCAAAGCCGTGTAAAGTGGCCTTGATGTAAATGAGAATCAGGCCCCATGTCTTTATTCATGCTGCCCCCTTTGCTGAAAGCAGCCATCTTCTCCTCTAAAACTTTTCCCAACACACACGTTTTGTTCTGCCTACCTTTATACAACTCTCAGATACAACTCTAATTTGTTCTTAGTCTTGCACTTATTTTCTTAGATCCATGCATTTTAAGCCCTGATCCTGCAAACAGCTACACACGCAATTAATATTATGCACACAAGTAATGCAGTTGAACAACATGAAGCTACTCATATATGTAAAGTTATTCATAAGGGCAACTGTTTGCAGGACTAGAGTGTTTGTAACATCGGGGGAAGCAGGGATCTGGCTAAACTACAGCCTGATTGCGATCTCATGCCAGTATAAATCAAAAGTAATTTAGGCCTGGTCTAAACACAGTTTTTGTACCCATTAAACTATTTCAGTTACGGGTGGTTTTTTGTTTTTTTACCAAAATGATTAAATCAGTAAAACCCCTAATGGGGACATAGTTTTACCATTGAAAAGGTGCCTTATACCGGTATAGGTTATTCCCAGAAATTATGGGTAACAAGCTATAGGGACGAGGCCTTTTTCACAACTGCATCCACGCTATGGTGATTAGTTGCAAGCCAATATAGTGAAAGCAGTACAAAAACTGTGTAAACAAGTTCTGACTCAACTGAAGTCAAAAAAGTTAAACCAGCATTAAGTGAAATCAAAATCAGACCTTTTGTGTTTAAAACAGCAGCACAGGTAATCATGTAATAAATAAACTAACTGAAGTTACTGAAAGAGAGAGGACACTATTATATGAAAACTCAAATAACAAGCTTCTATATAGTTTTATGAGCTTTGTCTTTTGCAAAACATATATTGAAAACAGTTCTCTTTCAGGGCTCAGTTTGTTCAGCTTTCACTCTGTGTGCTACAGTGGCAGATACAAAAATAGCATCTCTGATTACACGAATCTGACATGACAATTCATCAAAAAAAATGATTCACTCTTAAATAATTAACTACTTCTGGCAAATTCTCAAAAAAGAACAGTACTTTCAGCCCTCATGAAAAGAGGCAGGAACAGAATGCAAAATTTGAAAACATACCTGCAATTTATATTCCATTATGTTGAAAAATAAAGCAAAAAAAGACTCATTTAAAACTTTTTTCCTTTTTTTTTTTTTTTTATTAAGTTAAGAATTTTGAAAAGCCCATTGGAACTGATACAACTGTCCTGACCTCACTGCTTATGTCTCCCTTTCAAAGAAAATAGAACGAACTGAAAGGAGAAAATGAATCAGGCAGCCCAAATCTCTGCTCATCAATCAAATATACTACCAAAAAAAAAAAAAAAACCAAACCATTGCCTTTAAATGTAAATATGGTTAAGCACCAGAGGCTCACACAAGAGGAGCTTACCCACCACCATTAAGGACTGCACATTTACGAACCAGGCTTTTCCTATGCAGCTGCCAAAAGTAACTGTAACAGAAATTCTACAGGGTCCCAAATTCCAGCTCTGATCCTGAACCCTATAACATCTGTGGGAGTTCTGTCATTGTCTTCGCTGGAAGCAGGTTCACTGTCTTTAAGCCTCTACAACATTTTGTACTGAATCCCACTGGCCCCAGATGTGGTGTTACCATGCAAGCATTAAAATCCAGAGGCCGTTGAACTCAGTGTGAAGACCCTCACTAGCTCCAAAGGGCTTTGGATTGTAACTTAAGTTTTTTTAATTAAATTAAATTAAATTAAATTAAATTAAATTAAATTAATGGAGATATCCTATCTCCTAGAACTGGAAGGGACCTTGAAAGGTCATTGAGTCCAGCCCCCTGCCTTCACTAGCAGGACCAAGTACTGATTTTGCCCCAGATCCCTAAGTGGCCCCCTCAAGGATTGAACTCACAACCCTGGGTTTAGCAGGCCAATGCTCAAACCACTGAGCTATCCCTCCCCGCCAAGTCCTTAAAAATTCATCTGTGATCTGGCACCTTGCTTTACTGACAGTGGCAGCCAATGCTAGTGCCATGAGCAAGAGGAGCACACTAGTGGGTAACAGACTCACGTGCATCTCAGTGGCTGACATGAACTATACAACGGAACTCCTTATGTAATTTCTCTGATAAAAGCAGCTGTTTCCAGCTTTCAAAATGCAACCTGTGATAAAACCTGATAACAGTAATCACATGCCAGATTTAACTTTTAAAATCCATATCATTTTGGTTTGTGAATGATGTTACAACTGGGTACCCAGGGACAAGCTCCTGGACCTGTGCAGAAGTCACTAGTCACGGGGGCTATGCACAGTCACAACGATCCACCTGCATGGACCTGATTGCAGAATCAGGGCCTAGGAACACCTAAGCCAGATTTTTTTAATTTAGGCTCCTAAATCCATATTGAGGCATCTAACTAGAAGTGACCTGATTTTCAGAGGCACCAAACTTCTGCAGCTGCCATTGACTTCAATGGGATTTGTGGGCCTTCAGCACTTCTGAAAATCAGACATCTTCTATTTAGGTGCCAAAATGTAGATTTTTTTTTATTTGTTTTTTAAAGGGTAAATAATATTCACTGCTACCCAAAAAAGACTGTGGCCAATGGGACTATTTCATGTGAGCAGAACAGGTTGGCTGTGAGCCAAGGAGTGAATAATTACAGTCAAATTAAATTAGAGACTCTTTAAAATCAAAGTGCTAAAAAAACAACATTAGCATGATCAACATCAACTCACTGCTGTTGGCACAAACTATATAAATGTGTTTAAGTATCTGAGGCCAAAGAAAAAACTTACCTTGATGATCAGTTGTTTTGTTGACGTTTTCAGTTGTGAATGGTTACTTGTTACAAACATTTTCATCAGTAAATAAAATACTGATCTTTCACCACGAACCTTTTCTGTTTCCGAGACATCCTAAAAGAATAATGGGTTTAAACTTCCCTTGTGTGATAACACTGGACAGGAATAAGTTACACTGTGGCAGCAGAATAGCAAAAACTGTTTTGCAGGCCAGAGCTTTTTTGGGCTGGCCAAGTGGAAGTAGCGTGATTTGAACGAATTCTGCAATTAGTGGGTGAGCAAGATGAGTATAATAGCCTTTGAGCAGTGGAAGGAGTGTGTCTAATAGGAAAACCAACTAACAGAAGGGTCTAAGTAGAACACCACACCCTTTAACTTTCCCTCATCACCAATAATCCTGATGTCATACTAATACTGACTCAAGGGGAAATAAATCCATTTATCCCAGGGCTGAATTTAGCTCCCAAAGAATAGGAAATCAGTGTAAGTCGCTTCTGTTCTGACAGGTGCCGAATTATTACAAATGTGCACTACTTTACTACTTATTCTACTTTTCTGACCAACCCAATGTGCAAAATACAAAAACCCTTTGCATCACTGTTGAATATGGCCTTCTAACTTTTCCTTTAAGCACTTGCCTAACACTAGTAGTGTGCAAAACAGAAAAATTACACTGCTGTTGAAACTGGCAAGAAGTAAATTTTTTTTTTTTGCCAGTTTCAAAGATCTTTCCTGCTCCCTCTTAAGTCTCTTCTCTGTTCTCTATGGCTGGCTGAATATGATGGAGGATCTGTTATCATGAAGGGTTCCAATCAGGGCAGCCTTGAGTCACTTCTTTCCCCCACTGCCAACTCTCACAAGGCAGGTTCAAATCCTTTCTCCAGCCAGCTGTAGGAGGGTCTCTTCCTATATTTGCCTGGAGTAAATGAGAAGAGAGGGGAGTCTGTGAAAGCCTCCACTCGCATAAGCAAGGAGCCACCTAGGGTAAGGTTCTTCTCCAGCAGGTGTTTAGAAGCAGCACCTGAGCATCCTGCTCATCTCCTTGATTTGCAGCCACAATCCTTCCATCCCTCGGTGTCCAGAAGAGTCTCACTCTTGCCTCTGGGAGCAGCAGATTTTAGGATGCCCCTTTTAACCCTTCTTAGGAGAGGAGGGAATTTCTATTCCCACAGACAAAGGTCCTAGGCCTTTGTTGAGCCAATGATTCCCGGGCTCTTGCCTAATGGAAACAGACACTGAAATGATAGGACTGGCACTAAAGACGTGCAGCATCAGAGACAAAGACATGAGGGCAACTGGCAAAAGAAACAGATAAACGCATCTGCAATTCTCCTACCTGTACTCTGAACCAGGCAAATTTATTTGCCGGCAGTTCCAGGGCCACTTTCAGTATATGGTGCTGTAGAACAGGAGGGATCTCCTCTCGGAGTCCTTTTTCAGTGACAATACCTGGGGTTGGAAAACAGTTAGTAATAATATTACTTTGCATTTCTAGATCTCAGAGAGCTTCACAAACATTCATTATTTAAGCCTCAAAGCACTCTTATGAAGTGAGCAAGCAAGAAATTCATAGATTTTAAGGCCAGGATTAATATCTAGTCTGACCTCCTGAGTAACACAATCCAAACGACCTCACCCAGTTCACACTGTAGGGATCATTAGGCCCACCCTTGACAACACAGCCCCTTGGGTTATCACGCAGCAACTCCAAACAGTAGTTTTACATAACAAATGAAAAAGAAAACCCAGGTGCTGTTCAGATTGCAGTGGGAAATTTAGCAAAGACTACAACATGGAATTTGACCTAGGTGTCTGGATTAATACCCATACGGTTACAAAATGTGATATGGCATATTTACTAACCGCAAGTGAACTTTGGGCTTATATCTCACCAAAAGTAGCTTTTTATCATTTATTTGCAACAAGTGGTATTTTTCACCTAAAGCAGAAAACAGACTGAGATGGGATTCTTTATTTTCCTGAATTAATCAGAGATCAAATTCTACCCATATAATTCACAAAACTAGTGATGCTACCATCATTAAGCACAGAGTGGGAGCTGCCTCATATTTTAACTCCACTCTGGTATGCACTCTATAATCTCATTTTCTATGGGGTGAGCTCAGTGTTCTCTTTTCTTGTATTGTGTAATTTGTATATGGGACAGCACATTAAAAAAAGATAGCAGAACTAACAAAACTCCAAAGTTCCACCAGCAGCAAAACTAAACAATGGGATCAGCTGTTAAACATACAGATTGTTACAAGTCAAAAACAGACTGCCTGTCTTCAGTCCCACTGGCAGACTGCTCAATTCTGTGCAGGAGGATGGGAGATTTGTGACTAATTCTCAACGTACTTTTCTGCCAAAAAATGTGAGGTGCTAAAGTTTTATTCCTTGTGTCACATTATAACTAAACACATACCAAGGGGTCATTGCCTTATCAAGATACATGTCCCTCCTTTTGTTTTTTGGAAAAATCAATCCATTATGTTGCAAGAAATACTGGGACACACAGGACACATGATTTTGTGAGGCAGCCACAGAATAAACTAACCATGGCAGTGCACTCTGATTGGGGCACAAGGGGGATGGGAAGCCCATGCATTAGTCTATTTATTTTAAGACTTTTGGCTCTCCTTTTCTTGACAAACTTTTAATTTATGTAACTCCTACTCTTATATACCTTACAAGGGACTGCACATAGTACAGATAATTATTCTAGCTCTATGGTACAGAAAATGTATATACTTCTCTACTCAGTTTTGCTGCACAAAGAAACACTCCTTGTCTCCTATGTAACAGTTGCCCAAACTCAAACCATCTCATATTACTGTTAATAATTCTCCTATTATGAACTTCCCTCAGAAGCAACACCATGTAGAATTCCATTCCTCTTCCCTTGGACTGCAGGAAGCATGATTGAAAAAACAGAGCAGTAGAAGAAGAAAGGGTTACTTTTGACACCTTCCAGAAGAGACCACTGCATTGGTAAGTGATTTTTTTAAACCTCTAATGAATTACCCTATCCCTTTAAGAGATTGCAATGTTGTTGCAAATATGAAGAGTTCTAAAATCATTTATTTAGGCTGGGATTGTCATAGGGGCCTGAGGGAGTTAGGCGCCCATATCCCATTGAAAGTCACTGGGAATTAATAGACAGCAGGTTTAAAACAAACAAAAGGACGTTTTTCTTCACACAATGCACAGTAAAACTGTGGAACTCTTTGCCAGAGGATGTTGCCGAAACTATAACAGGGTTCAAAAGAGAACTAGATATATTCATGGAGGAAGGTCCATCAATGGCTATTAGCCAGGGTGAGCAAGGATGGTTTCCCTAGCCTGTTTGCCTGAATCTGGGAATGGGCGACAGGGAATGGATCACTTTATGATTACCAGTTCTGTTCATTCCCTCTGGGGCACCTGGCATTGGCCACTATCTGAAGACAGGATATTGGGCTACATGGACCTTTGGTCTGACCCAGTATGGCCTTCTAATGTTATGTTCTTATGAGTTAGGCACCTAGAAATTCCAGATTTTTGCAAGTAAATTTTCTGTAAACAACATCAAGAAGTAGATTAGAAAATTATTTTTAAAATTTAAAAATAGGAGTGGATGTGACAAAACAGATATGGAATTTAAGAAAAAAATGTCTTTTTCCTGTTGTGACACTGGCAGACCAGGTGCCAGCTGTTGTCAAGTCTGAAGGCATCAGCTGAGCACTGACAAATTCATATTTGGAAACCAGACCTATATATTAGTATTGTTCAAGACAGGTGTTAGACTTGTAAGAATCTATTTAGATTCTGTAAAATGCTTGTAAGTTGCTCCATGCATTGATCTTACTTCTAATGTCTGTATCCCATGCTGCAAGATAATATGAAAGTTTTGTTTTATAATTTTAAAAATGTCTGCTATGAGCTTGTGAGCCTCAGCAGGAAGAGGGGTTCCCCCACCCACCAAGAAGGATTATCCAGGCCATCGTAGGACAGAAACTTTATGGATTGCCCCGTCCACCCAGGAAGAAGTTACGTGCAGGAGCTCTTGTCCCATCAGTTTGAACTCCGGGGGATGGACATGGAAAGTTGCTCTCAAGAAGAAATAGTTATCTCTTTGCTGTTTAGACTCTTACAAGGGCTGGAGCTAAGAAACAAGAGCAGAGATTCCCCAGAGTCAACCTAGGTTAGCCCTAAAAGACATTAAATGGACAGATTACTACATCTCTGTCACCCTTTGGAACCACAGACTGTAACTCATTTGTGCTTATAAGTTGCCTGCTTTAACATGTAAATAAACCCTCTCATTTTTTTTCCTAGGTAATAAATCCTTAATTAGTTTATTACAGGATTGGCTACCAGCATTGTTTTTGGTGTTAGATCTAAGGTACAAACTGATCTGGGGTAAGTGACTCGTCTCCTGAGACTGGGAGCAACCTGAATATTTTTGATTTTTGATGTTAGTGACCATCCATCACTAAGTCCAGCTTGCCTGGGTGGCAAGACAGACTGGAGTGCCCAAGGGGACTGCCCGTGACTCCATGGTAACACTCTTACAGTGATCCAGGAGTTCACATTTGTTACTAGGTTGGGGAAATCTAATTATAGAACATGGCACCAGCTTGCCCTGCTTTTCTGACAGACTGCCCGGAGGCTGGCACTTACAACCATGAACCACTCCAGACAACAATGCCCCGTAACCCTTAATATTTATAGTTTTAAAGCTAAATCCTTGGGGCAGCGATCTTGTCATTTTACATTTGTTTGTGAAGTGCTATGCCCTGCACAAACAGCAAAATGAAATGGTGATGTAATCGAGAGTCTAAAACAGGTTACTCTTTTGAGGACACTTCTGTTCCTTTTACTAAGTAGAAAAGCAATCAACCTCTCCTGCTAGAGCAGGGGTTCTCAGACTTTTGTACTGGTGACCCCTTTCACACTGCAAGCCTCTGAGTGCGACCCCCCCTTATACACTAAAAACACCTTTTAATATATTTAACACCATTATAAATGCTGGAGGCAAAGCGGGGTTTGGGGTGGAGGGTGACAGCCCGCGACCCCCCATGTAATAACCTCGTGACCCCCTGAGGGGTCCCGACCCCCAGTTTGAGGACCCCTGTCCTAGAGGCTTTTAATGCTTTCATTAGCCAGCTGAAGAACATTTAAATACCCTTAACCTACCTTTTAGCAGTTTGCTGAAATCAAAGTTGCTCTGAGCTACCAAATGGGGAACAACCTTCTGACAAAGGCATATGACCTGAAGTAACACAGCTTTCAGAAGAGTGGTCTCTGCATCATCTGAGCCTGAACACAGATAGAATGAATATATTTAGAATTAGTTCATTTTTCCTTCAGACAAAGGAAACCCACAATCTCACAATGTTTTAACACAGTGATACTCTCAAGCCGCAAGTGGCTCTTTAGTGTCTCTCCTGTTTGCAGCATACGCTATTAAAACACTGTGGGATTTATTTAGTAACCAGTCAGGAGGTTTTTACTATGTTATCAACCAATTAAGTTATCAACTTGCACTAATTTATTAACTTATTTGCTGTGAGAATAATATATTCTTTTATAGTATATTTCAATATACACACACACTAAATATTTCCCCCGTCATTAACACTACTGTGGCTTTTTTGAGTAATGTTGACTGCTAATTTGGCTCCTGAACCACAGTGGTCTGACTATCACTGCTCTAACCCACATTTGTATTATTATTTGTATTATCAGTAGCATCCACTACGAGCTAGGCTCTGTCCAGCTGACTAATAAAAAGAAGCAGAATTGGATACACACCCCTTTTTCTGTATTAATATTTATACTTTTAAATCTGGATTAGTTGATCAAATTCTTACATGGGGACCTGTCATTTTTAAATTTGCCTGTATAGTGCCCCCCACCTCTGAAGATACAATCTCTTCCCTTAAAAAGCATACCATCTATCAATCTCTAAAGCAGGGGTCGGCAACGTTCGGCACGCGGCTCACCAGGGTAAGCACCCTGGCGGGTCGGGCCAGTTTTATTTACCTGCTGACGCAGCAGGTTCGGCCGATCGCGGCCCCCACTGGCCGCGGTTCGCCGTCCCGGGCCAATGGGGGCGGCGGGAAGCGGCGCGGGTGAGCGATGTGCTGGCCGCGGCTTCCCGCAGCCCCCATTGGCCCGGGTTGGCGAACCGCGGCCAGTGGGGGCCGCGATCGGCCGAACCTGCCGCGTCAGCAGGTAAATAAAACTGGCCCGGCCCGCCAGGGTGCTTACCCTGGCGAGCCACGTGCCAAACGTTGCCGACCCCTGCTCTAAAGTAAATGATAGAAAGAAATAGGAAAGTGAAGCAGGGCTTTGGAGCAGAGCCCGGAGCTGGAGCGCAGAGCAGCTCCGGAGCAGTGGAGCTGCAGGTTTTTGCCTGGAGCTGGAGCAGAGCCGGAGCACAGCTCCAAAGCCCTGAAGTGAAGAATACAGCTAACCAATATCATTGCTTTTTTATCATTGACATTGGGTACATTGGTGTTGCATATACAGTATATACTGCAAATGTATCACTATTTATTTCAGCTAAGGTTTCTCTCTCCCCTGCTGTTGTTTTTTAAATAATAATCTCCAAATGTGAAGCCTTAGAATGAGGAGATCATTTAGTGACTGTAAGATGTGCAGCAGGTACAACAGAAACATCCTCATTCATGTACAGCAGCCATCCACTTACAAGCAAAAGGCATTTCAGCAGCCTAAACTATTTTTCTGGTTTATTGACAGCTGAATTGATGTGAGGCTGCATAAAGGCAAATTGTTGTACAGCTGCTAGTGGAAGTAAATAAATACAGTGTAAAAATAGCGGAACAATTCTTTACAACATTTTTTTTCCTGTTGGCCAGCGTTTCCCAAAATGTGGAACATCCCCTCGCCCCCCCAAAAACTAGATGGGAAGATGAGAACAGACCTCTCTACTGTTATCCACACTCTCAGCTTACAGTTTTTAAAAAATGAAATCTCTAGCTGTAATGGCTGCAAAGAAAACCTTGAAAACATGACCTGCGAGTAACTGATGCAGCAGAGCCTGTCTGAGTTTGCAGAGAGCCTGAAACAACTGCTTTTTAGGTGTAAACTCCCCTGTTTGTTATGATAGGTGCTAAAGTATCATCACTGGCCTCTGATTTAAGTGTCAATGTTAACAACTGTTTTGCTGCTCACAAAACTCCTATGAAAGGAGAGGAAGTTTCATATTGCGAAGAGCTACACAAGCGTTTCTCTCAGCATGGGACATGCCACCCTGGGAGGGCACAAAGTAAGAGTGGGTGCACAGAAGACATATCAATTAAGACATGTAGACCATTAGCAATAATTGGCTAGGCTGCAGGGGGCATGACTGGTTTGATTTTCTGCAGAGCAGTGGTTCTCAAAGCCGGTCCGCCGCTTGTTCAGGGAAAGCCCCTGCCGGGCCATGCCGGTTTGTTTACCTGCCGCGTCCGCAGGTTCGGCTGATCGCAGCTCCCACTGGCCGCGGTTCACTGCTCCAGGCCAATGGGGGCTGCAAGAAGCGGCGCGGGACAAGGAATGTGCTGGCCGCCGCTTCACGCAGCCCCCATTGGCATGGAGCGGCGAACCGTGGCTAGTGGGAGCCACAACTGGCCGAACCTACGGACGCGGCAGGTAAACAAACCGGCCCAGCCCGGCAGGGGCTTTCCCTGAACAAGTGGCGGACCGGCTTTGAGAACCACTGCTGTAGAGGGACTCAGTTTTAAAAAAATGTTGGAACACAGCTATAGACAAAGGTCCTTGCCAAAGGACCATACTGACTGAATACCAAATACCCAGGATAAAATCCAGGCTCCAATGAAATGGTGGCAAAACTTCCATTGATTTCAATGGGGCCAGGATTTCACCATGACTGTTTATATACATATAGGATGTTATGCCTACAAATATATTCCTACCGTGCTGTTCATTGGTTTCTGTGATCTCAGTCATTTCCTCCTCAGTGGAAATGGTGTCTTCCCTTCTCTCCCCATCATGTTGTTCTCTCTCTTGTTTTAGAAGTGACTGCCAGACCGCCACTATGCTGTTCATGTCAGGTAAAAGCTAAAGACAAAATATATACGCAAGAAAAAAAATCAACAGCTCTTCAGTGCTGCACAATGCTGTAATGATGCAAATATTCCTAACACACTGACAAGGAGAATTGCTTACACTATGCAATTTGAATACAGACTGAAATCAGATTTTTATTTTCAGCTCTGCAGAGAACAAACATATCAAAGAAGAACACCATATTAAAAACAGATATGAAAAGTTACCAAGTGCTTAGCATTTTTTGGCTGTCTGGATTTCAATGTAATAAACATTTTCAAACCAAGGACCAGTTTCTGCTATAGATTACCGGAGTGTAAATCGGGATGAACTCCACTGACTTCAATTTACTTAAAGTGAGAGTAGAATTTGGCCCTAAATTATTAAAAAGCTGCTCTTAATTTTAATAGTTTTCCTCAGTACTAGCACACCAGCTGCCAATGTTATGAATTCATCTTAGAACAGAATTTTATTGGCATTTCCACTGACCAGATTTATTAGCTACCATGCTGTACTACAGTACTGGTTATTAACACTTAATAAAAATGTCTATAAAATACCTAGGAACTTTTATGTGCTTGGACCCCAGGATACAATAAATCAGGGGCAGAGTGCCCTAGTGCACTGGAGCAGTTATCTGCTGCAAACCTGTAATTCTAGGCCCTTGCTGTTTTTTAATATCTTCTCTTTTGTACCTTGCTAAGGGCTTCTCTGTACAGTTGGACAAATTCCTGCATCATCAGTGGAGTGTAGATTTCTGACTTTTGCCATACTTCCTCATTCAGACAGTGCTCAATATTTTTCAGGGCTCTTCTCAAAATAGTTGACATAAGGGACAAGATGGTGTGTTTCACTGTTTTGCTGGGTAACTAAAAGAAAGAGAAGCTGAATTAACAATAAAGTTACAGTGCTTCTTCCCTATCCATTGTATTCAAACTACTTATTTTGGAGTATTTGTTGAAACTTGTAAACAAGATAATTGTTTTTTAAAACTGGGTTGTTAGGTGGGTTCTTTTACCGCATGCATTCTCACTGCATGTGGTAGAAGAAAAAATACCAGCCCTTACAGCCAGTGAGCAGTTGCACAGCTGTGGCTTACAAGAAGTTAATGAAAGCAACAATCAGTGGGACTTAAACACATGTTTAAGTGCTTTCTTGAATTGGGGTCACAATTTGGAGCATTCAGCATAAAATCTGATAATTAATTGATTTTAAAAGTTACTTGGATGATCACCTTTCACACTCTTAACCCTAAGGAGGTTGTTTGGGAAAAGCCACATTGAGACAATAAAATGCTCTTACATTTAATCCTTGGGTGAACATAGTTTTATTGCACACCACAGGAAGTGTTGTTACCATCACCATAGAAAGCAATCTAGGGAGTGGAATAAACTCTGCAGTTTTAAAAGAGTTGGAAATCTCTGGTTGAGCCTCATAGATCTGAAATAAAAATAACAGAGTTTAACCAAGACTGATGTAATCATGCGGATTTGCAGCCAATTCTACAGAATACATTACAAACACGATATTATTTGTTAAAGGTTACTAACAACTGTACTAAATGTCAGGTTCCACACAAAGAGAAGGGCACTCGAAAGTTAACCACAGAGCATACATACTTAAATATGCATCCGAAGAAGTGGGATGTAGCCCACGAAAGCTTATGCTCTAATAAATTTGTTAGTCTCTAAGGTGCCACAAGTACTCCTGTTCTTTTTACTTAAAACATAGTCATTCTAAAATGATGATTACTAATGAGTAGTAGTATATCCTGCAGAGCATACATCAACTTTATGTTCAGTTACACAGGAAACCTGCAGAAAATTTGCCTATTATCCTTGGAAGCCCTGCTCTATTTAACAGATGGCACTGTCAGCTATTTTAAGATAAAAAAAAGGCGGAGGAGTATACAGCAAGGACAAAAGGATTCTCTAGCCATTTGTTTTTGTGTCTTGAAAACCAAAATCCTCACTGGGATTTTTCTCACAGACTGTAATGCCAACTCCTTCTTTCCCAATTTAGCTAAATGTTTATACCTCTTTCTACTCCCAGAATGGCCTTTTACCAAATGACCTTCTCACTCTACATCTACACTTCTCAAAGCTGCCATGGCTCCAAGCCACAGCTCATTTTACTCAGCGTTCACAGAAAACAGGATGCAACTTTTTTCTTTACCATCTTCAACATTTATTTTACAACATCCTGCCTCTTCTTTCCTAACATAGCATCAATTACTAAAGGTATTTCAGAACCCTTATGTCCTTCCTGTTTAGGTCATTTAAACCACAACAGTTTACCTTCTTTGTAGCTGGGCCTTTGGATCTCATTTGATTTTTAAAATAAATTAATTATTTAAAGTAAGTGCCTTGCTGCCTTTTTGGTGAGGGAACATCACTAAACAGCATGTGTACACAGCTGGGAACACACTACATCTTCATCCACTAGAGCCTCAGCTTAGGCACATTCTCCTCTGACACCTAACTACTGATTCTTTCAATTAAGAGGCCAGATCCTCAGCTGGTGCAAATCAGTTTAGCTCTACTGAAGTCAACACATCCTCAATTTATACCAGCTCAGGCCAAGATCTTCAATTTGAAGTCACACACAAAAAATTATTTCCACAATATAACTGATTGGGCCCATGTATTGCATGGCATCCCAAGAGTGGTAAATTTTGCACCGTACTAACAGTACTTAGAATGTGCTGCAATACCCAGCTGTAACAGGTGGAGTTAAGGGCAAATTGTCCAATATAGCATTGAATTTCCTTGTTAAGTGGTTTTAGGTAGGCTATGAGTGTTTGACTTTTCTGTCATTTGTATTACACAATCATACAAAATAATAGTACTTGTTTAAACAAAAAATGTTGATCTTTAAAAAAAAAAAAAAAAAAAAAAAAAAAAAAAAGGAATATATAAAAAATAAAAAAAAAAAAAAATGTAAAATGTATTTATAAAAAAGAAAAAAAAGCCTCAAAACTGGGCTTTTCCATATACAAAAAGCACACATTTTCCATCTCTCTCTTACCTTTTTTAGCAATTTGATATTGTCTAACCAGGTTGACTTCAGTCTGGGAATGAAGGAATATTGGGTTTCCTTAAAGTATTTATTCAGTAAATCTGGGCACACTTTAAGAATATTGACCATAAGATCAGCAACCATCTCATCCTCTGTTGCAGTTTTTAAATTCAGCAGAAAGCGCAGAAGCACCAAATTTCCTCCTCTGTAAAGACAAAATTGGGGGGGGGGGGAAAGTCACAATTTTAATATTTTAAGCACTCCACTAGCTCAGTAACTCCAGTATTAATAATGTTATAATGCAAGAGGTCAAATTCTGCTCTACTCTCATTTTTGCTGGTGTAAATCCAAAGTGACTCCTCTGACATGAATAGAGTCACCCTGGATTTATATTGGTGTAACTAAGAATAGAATATAGCTAAAGGTCTCTTACATGATGTACTGTAGCTAAAACAGAGCCCTCATCAACACAGTATCACTGAGATATTCCAAAAAATATTCTAACCAAATATCACAAACTTAAAAACATAGAATTATAGCATTATATTAAACTGGAAAATATTTTTCTGTAGCCCCCCTTATGAAGATAGGTTATTTTAAAATCTGTTCAGTCATGGCATTGCAGATGGCTTCTTCTCAAACGACCCTGAGCAAAGTGAGAATGTTGCAAATGCCAAGGGAACAGCTCTTCAAATTTACCCCAAAGCAAGAAAACAATCTGCCTGAATATGGAGATATACCTATCTCATAGAACTGGAAGGGACCCCGAAAGGTCATTGAGTCCAGCCCCCTGCCTTCACTAGCAGGACCAAGTACTGATTTTTGCCCCAGATCCCTAAGTGGCCCCCTCAAGGATTGAGCTCACAACCCTGGGTTTAGCAGGCCAATGCTCAAACCACTGAGCTATCCCTCCCCCCCATTAGAGTTATAAATGGACTTCAGCCAACTGGTTTGTCTAGCAATGAAGCACAACATCACTGTACCCGCCTCCCTCCATGGAAACATAAAAGTTTAGATTATTTTCCCTGTTGGTCATAAACTGGGTGCATATGTATTTTATCCAGTAAGCCAACAGTGACTGTGAGACAAATGAAAAAGCTGGTCAGGTGTTATGAACCAAATTCTAGTGCCACTGAAGTTAATAGCAAAACTCACATTAAATTTAGGGGGACAAGGATATGTATTTGTAGTTCCATAAGCCAGTAAATTAAAACAGACACTTCGGCGTCGTAAGGTCAACATTAGCAATTTCATCTTTGTTACTTTATGCTAACATAAATGATTTGAGGTCTGGGAAAACCACCTTACAATGAAAGACTTAAGGAACTTAATCTATTTAGCTTCTCAAATACCTGATGGTTAAGAGGCAACTTAATCACAGTCTATAAGAACCTGTGCAGAGAAAAGCTACCTGATCCGAGAGGGATCCCTAATTTAGCAGACAAAAGTATGAGATCCAATGGCTGGAAACTGAAGCTTAAAAAATTCAAACTGAAAACATTTTTAAACAGGGAGGGTAATTCTTGGAACAGATGCCTAAGGGATGTGGTTGATTATCCATTACTTGAAATCTTTTAATTGAAATTGGATGTCTTTCTAAAACATATGCCTTAGTTCCACCCAGTTATTGAGCTCAATCCAGGAATTACTGAGTGAAATCCTATAGCCTGTGTTATGCATGTGGTCAGACTAGGTGACTAGAATGGTACCCTTCTTTCCTTAAAAATCTATGAAATACAGACTGGAAACCCAATGGCCCCTTCCTCCCCCCCAAAATGAATATAGACAAAAAAGCCCTGTTAATTCACCTGCCAGACGTGCCAAGGCTTCGATCATAGAAATTAATGCCATGTTTCAGAGAACAACACAGGTCCATTAAGAAGTTATGAACCAGTTCTCTTACCATGACCTTTCCTGCCTCTTCAGGATCTTGAGTAATCTACAATGTACAAGAGAATTGTGAAAAACAAACATTTTAATTGTTAGTTTAATGAAAGAAAATTTTACAACAAATTCACTTTTATCTGTATTTTATACAGCTTGATTTATACACAGACAACTCCTACTTCACTCACTTTAGTTTTTGGTTAAGTTAACAAGGCAAGTTTTAACCTGTGTATTAAACACATTCAATAATATAGGATTCCTTCTATTCATAGGACTCAAATTGCATACCTTGGGAGTGTTTTTATTAATTACAGGGCATTGCCACCTAGGGCTTTCTGGCAAGAAATAAAGACAGTAAAAAGAAGCATGCCAGATGAACAACGCGAAAAATGAAGCTAAACAGAGATGTAAGTATGTCACTTTTATAAAGGGATTATGGCCAAACAATGTGCTGGCACCATAAAAATTAAGATTTAAAAATTAATTTGAAATGTCTACTTTCAGCCTTACTACTAAAAATTAGTGCAAGAAAACTGTCACAGAAATCACAGATGCTATCAGCATGAAGCATACAAAACAAATAACATGTTCCTTGGGCCAATTTTGGGTCAAGATGTTGGCCACACCGAGAACAATTTTAATACAGTACATGAAAGATGTCCTGCACATGCTAACTCTTCAGGGATGAAAAAGCATGAATTCCATTACAGATACAGCACAAAAATGAGAGGAGAGAACAGACCAGCAATATTTATCAGGTCAATGACTGGTTACTTTAACTCTTTAGATATGGCAGAGTTTAAGACTTCTGCAAATGCAAAATTCATTGGCAAGTTATTGTTGGGAAATCACAAAACCTACTGACAAAGCAGCAGTTTGATCCACACTGCAACAGTGTGAATAATTCACAGCTCAAACTCATGTAGAGTCATATGTGTGCCTGGCTCTGTATTAAACACTTAATGGAAACAGGTCCTTGCCAGGAGTTTACAGGCTTCTTATAACCTGAACTGCATATACAGTAGGTACCAGGATAGGAGCTGACAAAGAGACAGCCCATTAATGGTAGAAGTTTTCATGGAGAGAGTTGGTCTTTTAAAATCTATGGATACTGATATAAAGGCCTGATACAAAGCCCATTAAAAGCAATGGGAGTCTTTCATTCCATTCCATAAGCTTTGCATAAGGTCCTAAGACAATTTAGATACACCACATCTCAGATATTTCCATTACACAAAAGTGGAACTAAAAGATAACAACCCGTGTAATTCTTGTTATGTAAAGTAAAAACAAAGCGACTTACGCAGCAGCAATGCAGTGCTAGCAGGTACTAGGTTTCAGAAGAATGACTCTTAACTCATTAAAGACAGTTTTATACAAGCGTAACGTCATTTGCTGGTGGAAGCAAGAGCAGAATCCGCCCCAGAGATGAGGCTGCTCTTTATTCTGGGGCATTATTTCAGAGTCAGCCCAGTCTGATGTATGGAAACTGGGTACATGGAAAGGATATTGAGAGAGGCACTGCACAGTCTAGTCTTTGCTCTCTCCTACTCCGTCTTGCCCTAATGCAGGAGCAAATTCTTCCTGGCAGTCAAGCAGAGAAGAATGCTGAAGTATCAGCATGCCCCAAAGGCAGCACTTCTGCTCTGGAGCTCCAGAAATTGGGGGACAGAAAAGAGAGCCCCCCAAAGCGACATGAAGGTAGAGGTCCCTCCGCACCCTTCAGGCAATCAGAAAAAAGGGGCAGCCCTACTGCCACTCTTCCTAGGACTGAAGCACTAGTAGTCTCCAGCCCAGGCAAGTTGTTTGTTGGTTTCTTTAAAGCAGTGTATGGCATGGCTCTCTCCTCTTCTTGAGATCATAAATAGAGATAGCCCTAGCCCCACCTGTCTATTCCTCCTGTTTGTAGGCTGCACAGATTCAAGCAAGGAGAGTGAGGAAAGAGGTACGGGATAGGGAATTAGGAGAAACATCTTACGAAAGAAATTACCAGACCTTGACATCCTCAGTGCTGACATCGGTAATCCCATTCCAACGGTAAAGAGAAGCGATGTGACTTAACACTTCCACAGTAAAAAAACGCACCTTCTGCGTCTTACTGATACTCTTATTTTGAACCACCTGAAAACAATAAAAAGAAAGTCTTTTGTGTATTGCAAATTACAACGAAATGGAAAATAATAGTCTCCATCACACCTTGCACTGGTATTGCTTTTGCGCAGCTCCCTCTCCTCTACTAGAACAGAAGCGTTTCCCCTTTTCTCCTTGGCTTGGGGAAGCAGCCCTCTCCCACCACTCCTCTTCCTTCTTGGCTAGTGTACTGCGAGCAGCCTCTCCTGTTTCAATCTACTTTAAGCACTGAGCATATTAAGTGTTTGCAGGACTAGAGCCACAGTTTGGACTAAGGAGCTTCCGGCGCCTTTGGAATGCCAAAACCCCATTAGCTCCAGACAAGGAACTGGAAAGCTATTAGAAAAACTGACAGAGCTTGCTAACTATAGAATCTGAAGAGGAGGGAGTGTTAGCTACACATGGAGTTTGTGTATGTTGAAGGCTCTACTCTCAATACAGGAGCTGACAAAATCCACTGGGGGAAGCTGGCAAGAGTTGTTACCAGAGTAATCCAATGAATGCACCAAGCAGATGTTAGCAATGGCAACTGGTTTGCTCCAGGCTAAGAGATAAGCTTTGCAGAATCAGAGTCTTCTGCAGCTCTACAGGACCTGAGCTTCAATCAGACCTTCAGGGGACACGTCTGACTTTTGGAGAACCAAGAGTTTTGGTTAAGCAAGATTTGGATAGCTGAGGCTTGTTTGTAGCCGCAGTTCAAGGAATTTACAAGCTCTATGGGAAAAATCTGAGGTGCATATAAATTTCACACAACAAACAGTTCCAGATGCCTCCTCCCCACTTCCCTACTGCAAAAATAACCACAAAAAAACAAAACCTTGCAGCAAAAGTAAATGTAAAAAATTACTGTGAATATAGCATTAACCCTGTAACATCCAGCAAGGAAATTCCAAAAATTAATGGGTTTCCCCATAATGTTTTCTCGGCTTCATTTTTTAATTCCTGTTTTCCTTGTTAAATTTTAAACCTTGTGTATTATGTTATTAACTCAACCATGATACATACCAGAATAAGATATGCAACACAGACAAGCTAACAATGCAGGAGAAAAATTCATTTCTGGAACTCCCTGATTTCTAAGGTCCTGATTTTACAATCACCATGCTAGCTTTTTTAAAGTTTAATTTAACGTAAACAAAAGCACAGTTTTCATTTATATTGTCAGTTTCCCTTTCCTGTTAGGTTTCTTCCATATGGAAAAGGGACAGAAGGGGCAACAGAGCTCAAAAAGTGGAAACTGCTGATACACAAGGGGATATGGCCAAAGCAGCTGAAGACAACTGATTCCACAGCAATTCTCAATTACTTCTGTTATCAAGCTTCCATAGCAGCCTTGATGTAACTTAAATCTGCTTTCCCCACCCCATGAGAGAACCAGGCAACATGACATCCCATCACAGAACCAACTTCTCCCTTCTCTTTCAATGGGTTTACATGGCACATGGAAAGTAGTCCTCCCTGCAGCAGCTTTCCTGGATGTAGCCCTGGGTTTTTACTAGAAACCTTCATTATAAAAGCCACCATTTTCCTCTTGTCCATCAAGAAACAGCTTTGCCTGGCAGACAACATCACTAGCCCCAAATCAGGATACTCCCAGTCTCAACTGCAAGTAGATCCAGACCGCAACAGTTATCTCTAGTCAGGAGGTCATGATGAGGGATGCTACAGAACCCTATCAAGACTATGTCTTTAATTGGAAACCTATGGTAAAGGGGCTTTACCCACCAGACAAGGACAATTCTCTGCACCCCATTTGCCCCAACAGCCCCCAATATAAAAGCTCTGTTCCTTCTGGAAGTGAGGCAGTGTGTTCAATAGCTAGATTTTCGAAGTAAGAGTCATAACTTATTGCAGATATACCACCCCATTTCTCCAGGAGGTAAATGAGATGGGATGTATGAGAAACGTTACATACAAGCAGTAAGTAGCTTTTAAATTCAGCCGCGTGATCATTTAATTTAAAATTCTACTTAAAAAATATCACATGACAAGCTTTAACCCTGAGACAATTTTATGGCCAACATATAAACCCCCGATGAACAAGCTCAGCAACAGAAATGCTGATGATTCTTTGCAGCACAATGCCAGAGTAATAAATAGGTGTATATTCTTTGGGAATGCATTGCAAAGCTGTCTTCAGTAGCAAGAGAAACAGAAAGCAAGAGACAAAGCCATTTCAAGGGCATACCAGACCTTTGTTCCCAGTGTGGAAAGCAGAAGATTGATAGTAGAAACTTTATCTTCCTTTAATCCAGTCCTAAGAATATCTGGAATGAAATCTAAGAACATATTTCAAATGTTAGAGTCGTGATCTGAGGACAAGCAGCATTTGACTATGAAATTAATTTCAGGGAATTTGTACTTGTTTGTCCTCAATGTCATGTCACTCATCTCTGTGTTGTATTTAAAGATGAACAAAAATATGCGTATTAGCATACATGGTGAACAGATAATACAGTGATAAACAAACTGCTGTAACATTGCCTTTTATGAAATACCTATTGTAAGAATTATTAGGCAGTTAGTTAGCTCAGTTATTATTATTTAATATTTATATTGAGCTGGCGCCTAGAGACCTCAATCGGGTCAGAGCCCCATTGTGCTAGGCTCTGTGTAAACATATAGTTAGTGACAGCCCCAGCCCTGAAGGACCTACAATTATTGAAGTCAACGGGATTAATTATAGGGTCTGATCCAAGGCCCACTGATATCAACAGGAGTATTCCCATTAGCGTCAATGAGCATTGGATCCAGTTCTTAGTATGTTAAGTCAAGTGCATAGATAAGTCTTTTCAGAAGCAGACCCTAAATTAGCTAAAAACCCTGATTCCTTCTCTATTGCAATTCTGTGAGCTATTCTATGTGGGGCTAGTACAGCTGCCTCTTCCTCAACATACGGGGGTTGTACAAACACCCTCTGATGGCACTTCCCCGCAGAGCCCAAATGAAGGGCTTAAGGGGTACAGCAGCCAGAGACAGTGGCCATTTGACCCAAGGACAATCCATTCTAAGGACTTACACGGGCCTTGCACAGGCTATCTGCACAGGGATGAATTTCACTGTGTTCAAAAACTAGATCTTGCCTGATTTTTAAACATTTAACTTTAAAAGAAGGCAGCACATCCAATGTTATTACATTCTGAAGAAGTTTAAAAGCCATAAAGTCTCCTCTGTCATCTGATCTTTGTGGTTCTGAAGGTACTATAAGCTTATTTATCATGAATTGGGTCATCTAGGCCTTCCTATTTACCCTGCAGTCTCTTTGCGGTCAGCATAAGCAATACCATGACCGTTATTTTCAGCCAGTACAGCCAAGTGTTTTGGAAAGCATAAGCTTATTTAAAATCAGTTTTTAAAATTGAATTTCCTTTGTCTTGTCAATGCTATTTAATTGGTTCATATTTTTAAATGTGATCTTTAAAAGATACTCCTTTAACAAAAGCAGTAATTGTTAAGTACCTTTTAACTCTAGCACTTGTACTAGGATAGTGTTGTCACCAGCAATTAAAAAGGAGAGAGCAAACTGAATATATGCCATACGGACATCTGGTTTCCCCTAAAAGAAAATTAAAAGACACTTTTAGCATATAGCTTGTACACAATTGCAAAAATTTTACAGCAGCAGTTTGTTATCATAAAATATGTAATAAGTTGTATAGATATGTTTTATATAAACACATCCCCAGTATATTACTCTGATAAACTACATGAGTTTGTCAACCACAGTCTATTAACCTGTGGAGATTACTTTCATATCTTAGCATCTAGTTAGGAAGGCTGGTTGGTTCACTAATTTTTCAATTTTGAATACCTGGGCTAGGTCACAAATGATAAGTGGTTTGGCAGTCAGACTCTAATCCCCATTTACGCACATCACCAAACCACCAGAGATTGCTGAGCTACTCAGACAAGCCAAGGACCAGACTAACGGGGAGCTATTGCTCAGGACCAAGGTGTATTGGCAATGCTACAGAAACTGACAGGAGTTCTGTCCGCATAAAGGCCACAGGATCTGACTGTAAATTAGAATTATTTTTAAAGATTAATTATTTAACTTCCATCTGGAAAATGAAATCCCTAGCCCTTTAGTGCAGTGGTTCTCAACCAGCGGTACGTGTACCCCTAGGGGTACTCAGAGGTCTTCCAGGGGGTACATCAACTCATCTAGATATTTGCCTAGTTTTACAACTGGCTACATAAAAAGCACTAATTAAGTCAGTACAAACTAAAATTTCGTAGACAATGATTTGTTTACACTGCTCTGTATACTATACACTGAAATGTAAGTACAATATTTATATTCCAATTGATTTCTTTTATAATTATATGGTAAAAATGAGAAAGCAAGCAATTTTTCAGTAACAGTGTGCTGACATTTTTGTATTTTTATGTCTGATTTTGGAAGCTTTTAAGTGAGGTGAAACTTGGGGGTACACAAGAAAAATCACACTCTTGAGAGGGGTACAGTAGTCTGGAAAGGTTGAGAGCCACTGCGTTAGTGTATGTCATTTAAACTATATGTAAAAATCCCCAAATTAAATATAATTACTGGGGTACAATGTGAAACAACTTTCCCTTTAAAAGTGACTTGTAAAAAGGGGAAAAGAAAAGAAATAGCAGTGGGGACATGAAAGATTTTGTCAAAAAGTTAGGGAGTTTGTTGCTTTTCTGCTTGATTTTTACATTAGAAATTCAGGCTTGGTCTATCCTGAGACACTATTACAACTAGAGAATTAGTGAAATGACGACATCATAATGGAGTGAAATCTGAACAACTGAGACGAGGAGGAATTTTCAGGCACTGTCAAACTCTGTTTTGGTTAATAATATCTAATTTACTCCCATGACTAATGAACACGTTGTTAAATGAATATCCTGGATAAAGATTTAACACCCAAGTCCTTCAATTAAGATGTGAGAGCTCACAAAGGTAGATCCTGCAGCAAAACCCCACACTTGACACTCCTAATAACTTAACATTAAAAAAACCCAACCGATTTTCCCCCAAAACCATTAGTTACAATTTCCAAAGCAGAGTATAGTTTTTTCATAAATATTGGGTGAAATCCTGGCCCCACTGAAATTGATGGCAAAACTCCCACTGACTTCTACAGGACCAGGATTTAACCTGTTAATTTTAGAACTGGACAATTTCCACCCCTCTGAAACAAATTAAAAGCATTAAAACATTGCCTTTGCCTTCATTCCATTCTAGCCTTAAAATGTCATCTAATGGCAGTTCTTTCCTATGGCCACCAAACCACATAATAAGCCATGATGCAGTTTCATAACAAACTAGGTCACCCAATACTATGGCAGCAAAACTCAACCAGTTTTCCCTATGGTATTATAATCTTCAGGCGCTCCACTTCATCAGGGTAGCAGAGATCAAGCAGGCATGGAAATGAAATGAGCAACTCCTATGGGTGCCAGGACTTCGTTACACAAGATCTCTAATAACGACAGACACTTAGAAACATCCATGACCCCTGGGTGTTTCCCATTTAAGTGAATGGGAAACTGTTCATAGATCAGCGCTAGTGCCTATTATAAACAATCAGACAGAAAAGGGGAAGGAAGAGGTGGAGAAGCAGTAGTGGATGAAAATACAGTGGAGTCGCATTAGCAAGTTTACTTTAAAAATTAGCAAAAGTAAACGGAAGATACCTCCATGCCAGCTCATCTGACCCCTGCAGATACTTTGCTCACTTTACCTTCTTATCTCTTTTCTTCACTAATCCAGGCAGGAATTTATTATTAAAATCAAAATGGCTATAGACATCCCTTGCAGAATCTGGCCCCTGTGCCACCATGGCCGACAGCAAGGTGAGGCATACTCGAGTCATCCTACGTGAATAAATAGGGGGGAATGCGTGTTATTGCAGGAATGATGGTTACACAGACATTATAATGTGAGAAATTATACCTCTCAAATCATCCAGCCACAACTTCCACCAAAGTCAGTGGGAGTTGCAGGCACAGAAAAGCACTCGGAGTCTGTCCCAACGTGAGTAAGCAAGCACAGTCAGGAAAGCTAAGCTCTAACCACACTGAACCTGATCCTGTATTCCTACTGCATGCAAAGCTCTCACAGTCCAGGGAAGCCATGGCTCAATAAGGAATGCAAGATCCAGCATCTTTACAAAGCAACCACTGTTATTAATTTAGGCAAAATGCACGTGACTTTTCCCTAATTCTGGCCAATCTTATTTTCATATTGCCTGTTTTAAAAAGTATGTTTCTCAGATCAAGGCCCTGAGCCTGCAAATTCTTATGCATGTGCTTAACTTTAGTATGGGGAGCAGAGCCATTGGAACTGCCCCTGGCAGTAAAGTTAAGCACCAACATAAGTGTTTAGAAGATGGTGCCTTAATTCATTCCTATAAAATTGTTTGTATTATTATTGCTTATTATTATTTTCTTTGTTAAAGAATGCAGAAAAAGAGCTGTATTCCTGTCACTGGACCAAACCCTGAAGTCCTTACTAGTTTTCATTCAAATTTTATACTCAGTCCTTACTCACTGACTGGAGTGGAAATCTATCTGAGTAACGAAAAGAAAAAGTCAGAGGTACTGATGTAGAGGGAGTAGGCACAAGGGAATGTACATCTACATTGTTCCTATCAACTCAGCTTACACACACAAATATACTGGGAGGCTGGATGTTGATGTTCCAGAATAAGGGGGAGAGCGCCGGAAATGAAGGCTCCAATCCCTGCATCCACTGTCAACATGATTTTGCTGTTAACTTCAAAACTGGGGCCATAAGGGCCCGATTCTGCAGCCCTTTCTGATGTGCAAAGACATGCCATTATTAATCGCTGCAGGATCAAGCCCTAAAGTTCCAATAGGGGGGAGGGATAGCTCAGTGGTTTGAGCATTGGCCTGCTAAACCCAGGGTTGTGAGTTCAATCCATGAGGGGGCCACCTAGGGATCTGGGGCAAAATCAGTACTTGGTCCTGCTAGTGAAGGCAGGGGGCTGGACTCGATGTCCTTTCAAGGTCCCTTCCAGTTCTAGGAGATAGGACATCTCCATTAATTTAATTTAGAAATGTTATCATTCATAAAAAATCCTGAGGAGAAGACGCATACAAAGCAGAGATCCTGCCTCCATATGCCACAACAACATGACCTCTTTATGCTTCAACTGGACAACATACGTTCTCAGCAAATTGTTGTAATCATTATATTCTATGCCCCATTGGTGCAACTGACATGAAAATAATTGTTTTGTGACTGCCAAACCCCTTGGCCTTTCCAGTTGGCCAATGTAGCTACTAAAAGTCAAAATACCCTATCTGAAATTCAACAAAGCTGTTTCCCTTAAGCAAGCTCTGGAAGGATTTCTCCAATAGCTGTATTTTGGGGTCATTATTATGAGGGTACATTATTTTGTTGGTAGTGTTATTGGAGCCATGTTGATCCCAGGATATTAGAGAGACAAGGTAGATGAGGTAATATCTTTTATTGGATCAACTTGTGTTGGTGAGAGAGACAAGCTTTCGAACTTACACAGAGCTGACGAAGAGCTCTGAATGCCACAGACAGGGTCCTTGAATCAATAAGCACCTTCCCTCATCCAAATGAGGCACTGGGATGTAAAGCAAGAACCACCCACCAAACCTCAACTGCCATGGAGGGACAAAGCAGAAGAAATGGTTGTGGAAGTACCTCCTTTGGACTTAGGTTATAAATAAATTAAGAAATAAATTCAATCAAATCAATTAGTTGTCACACTTAAGAGACAGAAAAAGGTGTCGAGGAAAAGTTGGGCTAATGGAGAAATTCTATTACAAATGTGTCGACATTTTGTGAAAAGACTAGGAAAAAGAAGCAACAATCAAACTCAACACTTCTTGCCATCACCATGGTGTTCTGCTCAGCTTCGGTGAGCAATAGAAAAGGAAATCTTTCTCTACACCTCAAGCAGGTTTCATATCACAAATGACATAGTTAGGGTAAACAAAGCAAGCAGAGGAAGAGAATGGAAAATTACAGACTTAGCTAAAGTCAAGTGCAGCGCTACTCCCTGCAGCATTCCTGCAAACACTTATATGTATGTGCCTAAGATTATACACTGTGAGCAGTCCTCCTAAAGTCAGTGGGACTCCTCACATTGCAAACAGTTCAGCACATGCTTAGGTCTTTGCAGGATGGTGGCCCAAGGTAGCATATCGGGACTATGTCAGAGCAACCAACGCAGGTTCTCACTCTGGTATGCACTAGACTTACCTGTGACTTTCAGAATACAAAGCAGCATAGATTAATTTCATATAGCTATTAATCAACTTCTTTACTATGTTCATCCCCACAACAGAAAAATGGGACAGGTCACTTGCTGTTCTCAACAAGATGGCTTCCAAAGCTTGAAAAATTAACAGCATCTGCAAAGTTCAGAGATATTTTATTTTAAAATATTGTTGCCATTACTTTCCTCAAATATCCCTATACAAGCTAATATAAATAAGAACATTAGAACAGTAAACATCATAAATAATGAGTAACTGTGCAACAAGAGGAAATGCTTCCAAATGTGAAACTCAAGGTAACACACTGATTCTCTTCCAGATGGTTAACACTGAAATAATACGCTTGGGCAGAGGCTTCCATACTATGGTCTATGGATCACTACTGAGCAGCGAAGAGGTGGCTGGTCACATGGTACCAACTCTTCTCCTTGTTTCCAGCTGCAAAGGTCATGAAATTCAGTGTTGATAATGGCAAGACAGTACATCAGAGAGAATCATTTGAACTACTCATACACTTACTGTATTCTAAAGTAGTTGTAACCAACAAAGATTAAGACCTAGGCCTCAATATGGACAGCACAATTAAAACATCTGCTCATAGTGCAGCAGCATTCAAAAAAGGAAACAAGACACTAGGATGCACATGTGGATGGAATGGAAAATAATACTCAAATATACAGTAGAACCTCAGAGTTACAAACTGACCGGTCAACCACACACCTCATTTGAAATCGGAAGCACACAATCAGGCAGCAGAGTCCAAAAAAAAAAAAAAAAGGCAAATACCGTACAGTACAGTGTTAAACGTAAACTACTAAAAAATAAAGGGAAAGTTTTAAAAAAAAGATTTGACAAGGTAAGGAAACTGTTTCTGTGCTTGTTTCATTTAAATTAAGATGGTTAAAAGCAGCATTTTTCTTCTGCATAGTAAAGTTTCAAAGCTGTATTAAGTCAATGTTCAGTTGTAAACTTTTGAAAGAACCACCATAATGTTTTGTTCAGTTACGAACAACCTCCATTCCCGAGGTGTTCATAACTCTGAGGTACACCTCTACCTCGATATAATGCTGTCCTCGGGAGCCAAAAAAATCTTACCGCATTATAGGTGAAACCGCATTATATCGAACTTGCTTTGATCCACCGGAATGTGCAGCCCCACCCCACCCCCCGGAGCACTGTTTTACCGCATTATATCCGAATTCGTGTTATATCGGGTTGCGTTATATCGGGGTAGAGGTGTACTACTGTAATGCCATTATATACAGAACTCAAAAACTATACCTAAGCCCCAATACTGCACTGAGCGCCTCACAGTGAAACCCTAAATACACACTCAACCGTACCGCAGCATCAGGGCCTTACAAATTACAAACTCTGTGTTTTATCAGTAGGTGGAAGAATATCTACACAGCAAGCAGCTGACAAAGCAAGACACAATGTATACATAGTTTTTCTGTTATGTAGACAGAGAGGATACTTTATTAAAGAGCGGTAGCCGTGTTAGTCTGTATCAGCAAAAACAACGAGGAGTCCTTGTGGCACCTTAGAGACTAACAAATTTATTTGGGCATAAGCTTTCGTGGGCTAAAACCCACTTCATCAGATGCATGGAGTGGGTACCACAAGGACTCCTCGTTGTTTTTATTAAAGAGATTGTTTATTGGAAGTTAAAAGGGGCTCCATCAACTTTAATCAGTTGTAAACAAACTCTTCTTTACCTAAATTACTAATAACGCCTCACATAATTAGCTGTAAGAGAGTTCTATAAATCCAGTTTATTGGTCACTATTTATGCTCTTTGTTTATGTTTTGCATTTCTCTCAGCTCAGACAATAAGTTTTACCTTCAGGTTCTTAATGCTGCAATAGCTGGATATCACACACTACAAAGGAAGGCTTATTTATCTAAAAACAAATGCTTTTATTAGATTTGTGTGTGCGTATGTGTGTATAAACATTTCTATTGGTCCTGAGTTTTATAAAAGCTTTTCTTAACAAAATTCAAAGGCCTCAGTACTACAGAGCTTGACTTCAATGGGACTATTCAGAATACATTAGGTTTAGCACGTGTAAGAGGCTTTGCAGGATGCCTTTACATTTTATGACAAACTTATAAGGCCACTGACAACTTAACAACCGATTTTTCTGCTCCTCAGATCTCCAAATAAATTCTTTTATTCTGTGTTTATACTACAATTATTAAATGTTCTATTCAGTGCACACTCTGCTGTCCATTACAAATGCAATGCATGTGGACAACTTACTTCACTTTCAGGCCTTCTTTCACCATCCAAAAGTCTGAAAATTTCAGCACACTCCACAGAAATTTTTATATATCCCTCTACTACATCATATAGTTCAGTAGATGGTAATGTCTTAGCTGTGGAGACGAAGTTTTCTAAACCTGAAAGAAAACAAGCATTTACATCTGTAATCAAAAGCATGCTTTTCAAATGACAGATATAACCTTTATTCCAGCCAGGGCCGGCTCCAGGGTTTTGGCCGCCCCAAGCAGCCAAACAAACAAACAAAACAAAAAAAAAAGCCGTGATCACAATCTGCGGCGGCAGTTCAGCGGGAGGTCCTCGCTCCAAGCAGGAGTGAGGGACCGTCCGCCGAATTGCTGGACATGCCGCCCCTCTCCGAAGTGGCCGCCCCAAGCATCTGCTTGGTAAGCTGGTGCCTGTAGCCGGCCCTGATTCCAGCTTCACAAACTCTGTACACTGCATTATAATTTGTCAGGGTTCATGGAAGAAGTGTCTGGTATGGAGAACGTGACATTCAGCATGGAAAGAAACTTAGACCAATATCATCTACTTGTTAACATTTTCTTTCTCACTTTATGTTCATCTGAGTGCTAGGCATATTACTCCCAATCCAAAGGTACATTCACTAATATAGAATGGGAACGTTACAAGAGCACAATGCAACCAACTACACTTCACTGAATAAATCCCCACAAAAGACAGAATTTATCCAAGAATATTTCTACCTTGAACACTGAATTACTTCATATCATTTCAAGCTCATTTAAACATGCAAAAACTGCAAAATAGTTTTAAGGAGTAATAAAGGTGCCCTCCCCCCCTTTTTTTGCATAAGATACAGGAATACTTGTATAGTAAAGAAAATACACATAATGCACCTAACTACATCCAAGGCTGCCTAGTGAAAAAGTGTGAGAGAGAGAGAGAAAATGCAAAATCTTTGTGAATAGTAACAGCGAGCGACTCACAGTACAAATGCAACAATAATTCATTTATTACTGGGGCACCTGCACTAAACAAGCTCCTAGGTGTGGGTCTCAATCCCCCCTCCCCTCCCCGCAGGAATGGGCCATAATACATGAGATCAACATGAACGGAACCGTAATGCACTTGGAGCAGCACGGGGAGCAGTGCAGTGTGCGCGAACCTGGGAAATAATGCAGGGCGGGGGGGGCGAACGCAACAGGAACTCAGCACACTTTAAAGAGTGCAAAGGCAGCAACACGAGGGGGCGATGGCCGGTGACAACTCAAAGAGCAGCATGGGGACACCCCATGCTGGTGCCCCGCCAGTGCCAGTTCAAGGGCAGGGGCAGCAGCAGCACGGGGGGTGGCAATGCCCCCAGCAGCAGCAGTGACGGGAGCAGGCTCCCCCGCGGGAAGCACGTGTAAGTCGAGCCCAGCTCCCGCCCCGGCTCACCCTTGATCGCGGTCTCGGGGTCCCGCAGCAGAGATTTGAAGTGGGTGCCCGTGAATTCCCCCTCCGCGCCGCGGGCTCTCTTGGTCTCCGCCGCCCCCGGGCCCGGCGCCGGGCTCTTTCGCTTGTGGGCGCCCATCGCGCCGGCCTCCAGGCTGCGCACGGCGGCTACACGCGGCGGGCTGGTCCGGCCTGTGCTCTCCCGGAAGCGGCCCGCGTCCGCCTCCCTGCTCGGTCCTCGGGAAACTGCAACCCGGCAGCGCCCCGGCCCAGAGCGCCCAGGGCTGGCTGAACAAGCCCCAGGCTGTCTCCCAGCCCCGGGGGGGCCCACGCGCCCCTGCCCTCCCTTCCCCCCTTGGACATCCACCCCCACGCCCAAGCCCCCTCTAGGCCACCCACATTCCGCCTGAGCACATCTACCTGGGCCCGGGAGGAGACAGGGAATTAGGCCCCACTGCAGCTTTAGGCCTTCAGTGACTAGTCCATCAGCCTGGAAGGGGGAGACCAATGTGTGCTCACAGTCAGAGCAGCTCTCATTGACAGGCATGATGTTAAAACACCCCGTTAGGGCTCGCCTCCCTCCATTGCTCACACCAGTGTAAGCAATTGCAGGACGTTTTAGAAAACGTTCCCCACAAGCCTCTGAGAACACCAGGGAAATTCCCCTAAAGATCCTGCTTTCTGGTTATTGGCTAATCCAACAACAACAGCAAAAATCAGTGGAATCCAGTGGGTGTCTGTTTCATTCTTCTTCAGTGAGAAGTGCAGGGCCATCCTTGCAGGAAAGGTTATCGCAAAAATGTGTGTCTGGTATTTCATCAGGGAGACATTTTGTACAGACTGCTTTAATCTTAATCCCTAAAGGCAGGGCTGATACTGAGTATTGTCTTATTCCTCAAAGAGTCCAGCTAATTTCAATTGGACAACTCAGCAAGAGTAAGGGCAGCAGAATTGGGCCCTAAATCAGGGAGTTGAAACATTTCTTACTCATAAGTACAACAATATGAGTATTGGGGGGAGGGGGCATATTCCATCTGTCACTACTTCACTGTCCTGTAAATATCTATCTGTTAACACTCATCACTGTAGTATGTGAGCCTCTAAAGAAACCTGAAGGAGCCACTCCTGGTTCCCCCCCATCCCAATTTATTGTACGTGGCTGCATCTTTACTAGTCCCTCTCCCTCCTGGGATTTCCGTCTTTTATACTGTTGTTTCTCTGGGACTCCTCTCCCCCAACCTTTGGTTCTCTGTCTTCATTACCCCTCTTTCCTAGGGTCTCCTAAACCAGTGGCTCTCAACCTTTCCAGACTACTGTACTCTTTTAAGGAATCTGATTTGTCTTGTGTACCCCAAGTTTCACTCACTTAAAAACTAATGCTTACAAAATCAGACATAAAAATACAAAAGTGTCACAGCCCACTATTACTGAAAAGTTGCTTACTCTCTCGTTTTTACCATATAATTATATAATACATCAATTGGAATATGAATATTGTACTTCCATTTCATTAAGTGCATTTTCATATAGAGTAGTATAAACAAGTCATTGTCTGTATGAAATTTTAGTTTGTACTGACTTTGCTAGTGCTTTTTGAGTAGCCTGTTGTAAAACTAGGCAAATATCTAGATGAGTTGATGTACCCTCTGGAAGACCTGTGCATACCTCTAAGGGTATGCAGTACTCCTGGTTGAGAATCACTGTAAACCCCACTCTCACTTCCCTTTCCTCCCAAATTATCTGCCCCTTTGGTCTTCTCTTTCCTTGCATTTCTCATACCCCTGGGTCTCCAACTCCCTTTCCTATCTTTTGAGGATTCCCACCCCTAGAATTCCCCCATCTAGGAGTCCTTCTCCCACCTCCCAGTTAGGTGTCCCAGCATTGGTGATGCTTCACTTGTGTCTCCAAATAACTTTTTGTTCAGGCTCTGTTCATATAACCTGTTTATATGCACACTGCATTCATACATACACCAACTGTTACTTTAAGGAATACAAAAGCTACCGAGCAACCTATTAAAATGGATGATCTATTTCTATTCCAATACTCCTTTTCTTTTCCCTTATCCTCTACTTTTTTTTGAGGGGCTGGAGGGGTGCAAAGGCAGCACCTGAAGTTTCCAGTGCTGGGTTATCACCCAAAGATGATTTTTATGTTGCTAGGGTTGGGAGCTTGTGAGCTTTACAAGGGAGAGAACAAAAATGCCAGGGAGTCATCAGCATATGTCCAGGATCAAGAAACATACAAGATCTGATGGTAAAAAAATGGCCCAACACTGTAGCATTTAATCTCAGAAAGGGGAACTACACAACAATGAGGAGGTTAGTGAAACAGAAATTAAAAGGTACAGTACCAAAAGTAAAATCCCTGCAAGCTGCGTGGAAACTTTGTAAAGACACCATAATAGAGGCTCAGCTTAAATGTATACCCCAATTTAAAAAACATAGTAAGAGAACCAAAAAAGAGCCACTGTGGTTAAACAACAAAGTAAAAGAAGCAGTGAGAGGCAAAAAGGCATCCTTTAAAAAGTGGAAGATAAATCCTAATGAGGAAAATAGAAAAGAGCATAAACTCTGGCAAATGAAGTGTAAAAATATAATTAGAAAGACCAAAAAAATTTGAAGAACAGCTAGCCAAAGACTCCAAAAGTAATAACACTTTTTTTTTTAAATACATCAGAAGCAGAAAGCCTGATAAACAACCAGTGGGGCCAGAGAACACTTCAACCTCCCTGGTCACTCAATTACAGACCTAAAAGTCGCAATTCTTCAACAGAAAAACTTCAAAAACAGACTCCAATGAGAAACTGCAGAATTGGAATTAATTTGCAAACTGGACACCATTAAATTAGGCTTCAATAAAGACTGGGAGTGGATAGGTCATTACACAAAGTAAAAACTATTTCCCCATGCTAATTTTTCCCCTACTGTTACTCACATCTTCTTGTCAACTGTTTGAAATGGGCCATCCTGATTATCACTACAAAAGTTTTTTTTTCTCCTGCTGATAATAGCCCACCTTAATTGATTAGTCTCGTTAGAGTTGGTATGGCAACACCCATTTTTTCATGTTCTCTGTGTATATATATCTTCCAGGGCCGGCTTTGGCTTTCTGGCCACCCCAAGGAAAACAAAAAACAAAAACCGCGGCGGCCAGAACAGCAAAGCAAAAAAAACAAAACAAAAAAACCCTGCGGCGCGGCCAGAGCCAGGGTACAGGGGGACTCCCTGCCCTGCAGATGTGCCTCGGCTAGCGGGGGGAAGGGGAGGGAGCGGGGGAAGAGAGAGAAGGGGGGCGGCCAGGGCTTCAGCGGGGCGCTGCCACGCGGCCCCTCCCGCCGTGCCCCCTGCCAGGAGGGCTCCGCACCACTCCGGTCGGCTGGGAGGGAAGGACGCGGGCTGCCCTGCCGGGCTTGCTGCAGGGCGCTCCCGTCCTCCACGCCGCTGCCCCCCTACAGGGCGGCCGGAGCGGAACAACAACAAAAAACAAAAAAAGTGTCCATGCCGCCCTAGGATTGGGCGGAATGCCGCCTCCTACAAGCTGCCGCCCCAAGCACCAGCTTGCTCGGCTGGTGCCTGGAGTCGGCCCTGATATCTTCCTACTGTATTTTCCACTGCATGCATCCGATGAAGTGGGTTTTAGCCCACGGAAGCTTATGTCCAAATAAATGTGTTAGTCTCTAAGGTGCCACAAGAACTCCTCGTTCTTTTAACTGTCATCTGTAACCTATCATTTTAATCAGCTTCTGTACCAAATGACTGGAGGATAGCTAACATGACACCAGTTTTTAAAAAGGGCTCCAGAGGTGACCCTGGCACCTACAGGCCAGTAAGCCTCACTCCAGTACCAGGGAAATTGGTTGAAACTATCATAAAGAACAAAATTGTCAGACACATAGATGAACATAATTTGTTGGGAAATAGTCAGCATGGTTTTTGTAAAGGGAAATCATGCCTCAACAATCTACTAGAATTCTTTGAGGGGGTCAACAAGCATGCAGACAAAGGAGATCCAGTGGATATAGTGTATTTAGATTTCAGAAAGCCTTTGACAAGGTCCCTCACCAAAGGCTCTTAAGCAAAATAAGCAGTCATGGGATAAGAGGGAAGGTTCTCTCATGGATTGGTAACTGGTTAAAAGATAGGAAACAAAGGGTAGGAATAAATGGTCAGTTTTCAGAATGGAGAGAGGTAAATAGTGGTGTCCCCCAGGGATCTGTACTGGGCCCAGTCCTATTTAACATATTCATAAATGATCTGGAAAAATGGGTAAACAGTGAGGTGGCAAAATTTGAAGATGATACAAAACTACTCAAGATAGTTAAGTCCCAGGCAGACTGCGAAGAGCTACAAAAGGATCTCACAAAACTGGGTGATTGGGCAACAAAATAGCAGATGAAATTTAATGTTGATAAATGCAAAGTAATGCACATTGGAAAACATAATCCTAACTATACATATACAATGATGGGGTCTAAATTAGCTGTTACCACTCAAGAAAGAGATCTTGGAGTTATTGTGGATAGTTCTCTGAAATCATCCACTCAATATGCAGTGGCAGTCAAAAAAGCGAACAGAATGTTGGGAATCATCAAGAAAGGGATAGATAACAAGACAGAAAATATCATATTGCCTCTGTATAAATCCATGGTACGCCCACACCTTGAATACTGCGTGCAGATGTGGTTGCCCCATCTCAAAAAAGATATATTGGAATTGGAAAAGGTTCAGAAAAGGGCAACAAAAATGATTAGGGGTATAGAACGGCTTCCATATGAGGAGAGATTAATAAGACTGGGACTTTTCAGCTTGGAAAAGAGGTGACTAAGGGGGGATATGATAGAGGTCTATAAAATCATGAGTGGTATAGAGAAAGTAAATAAGGAAGTGTTATTTACTCCTTCTCATAATACAAGTACAAGGAGCCTCCAAATGAAATTAATAGGTAGCAGGTTTAAAACAAACACAAGAAAGTATTTTTCACGCAACGCACTGTCAACCTCTGGAACTCCTTGCCAGAGAGTGTTGTGAAGGCCAATACTATAACGGGGTTCCAAAGGGAGCTAGATAGATTCATGGATGATAGTCCATCAATGGTTATTAGCCAGGATGGGCAGAAATGGTGTCCCTAACCTCTGTTTGCCAGAAGCTGGGATTGGGTGACAGGGCATGGATCACTTGATGATAACATGTCTGTTCATTCCCTTTGGGGCACCTG